AAACGTCATTTTGACTCTGTGGTGGCATTTCTAGTGCTTTCAGAAGGTAATCTGAATGGCAGTGACATAATAAATAATTTTACTTTTAAATTGTCGGATCACTAGTCCGTAGCACCGCATATGCAAATAAGATTAGTTGATTACGGAAAGTTCTATATAACATCAACGTTTGCAGAATTTGTAAGGGGACGGCATTTCTAACCGCGCATCAGGATTTCGTATTTACATATTATTGGTATTTTTTGCTGTCGGTCAACATTGCGAGCTCTCCGATAATTTTTTTTTTCATATGAAACTACCAAAAATAATTTAAATAGTCACGATCTGATTGGGTATATTTGTGAACAATATCGCTGGCGAAGAAAGTTAAATTACATGAAAACAACCAACCATCAACAGCGAGTGTTAAGACATATACATGTTACACAATAAACCATCAGTACTTAATTAGTACTGATATTCGTCTCATAATCCATCCGAAAACTTGGTATTTACTAAGGATATTAGCAACGGTTATTATATAGACTGGCTATTTGTTTCAAAGCGAAATTTTCAGTGTTTTCATCACAGAATTCTGTGCGACAGCATGTTTGAAAAGAGCGCTAAAACGAACTAATCTGCCACGTCACTGACCCTCTCAATTGAAAAAAGGTAATCATCGTGTCGTAATTTGACTTTTGAACTGACGTCTTTGTTTAATCCAATACAAATATTATAAGTGCCCATTACAAGCTTTACTATTGGCATTAAATAATTACATTGCCATGTCAATTTACTCCGTAGCAGCCATATTAATAGGACTATGTTACGCGAACAGTGCTCGGACATAACATACAGTAGTATCTTGAATACGATGTCACACAAATGATAATCAAACAAATCATATTTAATATTAATATAGTAGATCAGATTTCCGCTTTTCATGTTCCGATGATAAAGTTTCAATTATGCGCAAATATTATGTACCCACAAAAGACAAATCGCCTATAGTACAATAATAATAGCCCTTTCACTGTGATACATACAGCGAATCTCCCATAAATGCAACAACACTTTGGGACCAGGTGCTATGTTGCATTTATGGAGGTTCCTTAATAGGAAAGATATTTAAATCCATGTATTGGTATTCAAAGCAACTATTGAAAAAAGAGGCTCTTTATTATAATTTCAGCCAAGCTACTAAAAAGTTTGACTATCAATACTGCTAATTTAACAACTTTTGTAAAAGAGACAAACAGGATCAAACTCAAACACTGGGGAAAAAAAGAAGCAATTCTTCACAAAGAATTCCTCCTTTGCACAACTAAATCTGTAACAACAAAAACCTCAAAGCTATTACAAACAGGGTCAAACTCAACACTGAAAAAATAGAGAATAATTAATGTTACTACATTTTGTTGAGCGCAACTAATAACAACAACAATATTTAAATCTATTAGAACGAGACTCGCAAGTGCAGAAAACGGGAGGTTGCATTTATTCACTAAGTTCTGTGTTGGAGTTAGGGCTGACAATAGGTTTTAAATAACAACGAGGGATTTTCTTCTTTACAACATCATACAGCCACTTTGATAAGATAAAATCATTGAAGCAGCCGTATTCTCAACACAAAGAAAATTTTCTATACCGAAAAGAATATATTTAAACATATAAAACATTATTATGCCAAGCAGTAAACTTGTTAACAAATCGTTCAGATTAAAATTTTTGTTAGAAAAGGATTGAGAGTGCATTGTTGATTGCATCAACTGAATGCAAAAATACCTTTTGCTTTATACCCAACAACGGGTTCAAGTTCTTCATCTGTGCTAACAAATTCTTCGTTTTGTTATCTATTGTAATTAGTAACCAAGTCTTTTCTGTAAACTGTCCCCCTACTTGTGATAACAGAAAACTATGTCACGTTTATCAAAATTTGTCTGGTTAATCAAGATGTCAACCGTCTCTTTAAGTTCAGGTTAAAGGGTGCGAAATAAGTGTTCGGCCAGTTAATAATTGAATATTATGCCGTCGGAGAGGTATCGCCGTCTCGTCTTTGTCTGTTCTTTTAATTGACACAAGAGGGTTAAAACGCGAAATCGTCATTTTAATTTAATTGAGGTTAATTAATACTAATACTAAATTGGTTGCCAATTATAATCATGATTTACGCACTTCATTGAATCGAAAATCGCACAACGGTGCTATGGTGATTGACAATATATTAGGACATTGTTATTTATCAAAGATTATTTTGTCGGGAGTAACTATGTACAAATTTGGGTGACATGCATAACGTCTCGAATATAATTAACAAACTTGCAATCAGGGCTGTTGTATATGTATCTATCATTAAGGGGTCCTTCGTCGACAGGGTCGTTTCGCGGACTGATAATATTTTATTTCATCGACAGTCATTTCGCTAAAAGATATACACAGTGAAGTCCGCTTTTAACGAATGCCCGAAGATGGCCTTCTATCCAGGATTTGTCCGAAACGAGTTTAGCTATATATAGAAAAGTACCAGCTGAATGAAGTTTTATAATTAAAATCTGTATAACGATATAACGAAGAATTTCGGAATCGGTAGTAATATTACCGAAATAGTGGTACATAACGAAGTTCGGTTAAGCAAGTTTGGTATGACAATGTCACAGTCAACTCGGACCAACTTTCCGAGGCCATCGTCCGAATTACCGTAGATGACGATTTATGGTGTGACAAAAAACCACCCATAAATTTTATTGTGAACATTAATATGGATATTTACCGAGAAAGTTTTCTAAGAGACCGTTATCTGTAATCTACGATAACATGAAACTTACTAATTAGTCGACGAACAACTGATAAATCATCCACACGAATATTAATGTTGTCGTTATCCTGTTCGTTAAAGATTTTATCAGAATTATCGAGTTCGTTAATTGGACGGCTGAATTTTATCAAGCGTCCGAATTAATGTGAAATTGTTACATATATAGGATCAATCAATCAAAGGCCGAATTAAAGTTGTCTTTTACAATACTTAATTTATACAGTTGATCCCTTACAGCCGAATTATCGAAACATCAAACATCACGGAAGGAATCTGATATGGAAAAAAAAAAAAAGAGTCCGGCGGCATCAAACGTCCGAATCCGAATTAAAGAAGGACAAATTAAAGGCAGTTGACTGTATGTTAATACGGGAGAACAACACGAATGATCAGTTTCATAAAATTGCCGTCCGTTAATATAACCGTCCGCGAACAAAGTATCGTAACAGAAAAGCAAATGCAATTGGAGGATTTCACTAATAGCGTTAGTAGTAGATAATAAAAGCAGCCAAGAATGCTATAAGGCCTAATTGTTGATTGCTCACTTGAACGAAAACCGTACAATTTATATAAAAATCTGCTATAAAGATAAAAGTTTGTTTTAAAAATAGTCGGCATTAACGAAGAAAATCGGTAGAACGGAGGATTTTGTTCATGTGTAGTTGACAAATAGGTTCGTCAACAGTTATTCACTGACAGTTTATTTCGCCGACAGTCATTCCGTCAACAGTCATTACTTCGCCAATAGTTATAGTTGCATATTCTATATTCTGCACGTGATTAGATTATAAATTTTAGCCAAATAAACTTAGCAATCAGAAGCATCCGAATTATAATGCGCTGTCATAAAAGTGTAAGCTTCTATAAGATTACGCTCCAAGAACTGTGATATAAATACTTGGCTAAATTCCTTTTAAGATATTGAAAACTTTTCTTAACCTAAAAAGAATTTCATTTACTTAAAGTAAATAACAATATTCGGTATTTCCTTCCACTCTTCTTTTACTGCGAAGTTTTTAGTAGAAACACTTATCATTTTTCTATCTAGTTTTTTTACCTGATTACGAGGAATGAGCTCCTTAGCGAGACTCATTTATGCACAAAAGCAGAAAATTGGAGTTTTTACTAATTTATTGCTCTGCTCATCATGACATGCTATATTAAATAAACATTAATATTTCATTCAGACAACTGATGAAAGTTAGTTTTTTATTTCATATAAAATTACGACTGTGCAATACTTTTGTCCCTTCCCCCCGTAATTATCGTCTACTACTATTAAACGAACTCATTCGCTAGGTGTGGTTGAGAGCCCGCATAAGGAATTCCTTAAAAAGACGCGTCAACCTCGACTAAAGATTATTACTAGGTAATACACGTACAGTAGTTCTACTTTTTTGCGTTGCTGTTGCTGAACGGAAGTAGTATTAAGTTCAACGTTCGGTAATATAATTCTAACTACAATTTTTTAGTCTGATTTTATGACCAGACAGATTAAATCGAACTTGCCTACTGATTTCATATGACGGAATACGTCTTAGTCTGCTTAGGTGGGTAGCGGCTTTTTGGTGTGCTGTCCACACAGTCATAACCAACCAACATTGCCCTAGTCTCCTGCCAACTATGATATTTGTACTACGGAGATCACCAAAACAAGGTCATGACTATGAAGCAATGTGATGATGACACGTTCAACATCATGTACTGTACAATCATATCATTCAAAGGATATTATTCCGAATTGGCCATGTCTATAGATTAACGAAATCCCAATAAAAAAACCGGCTATCCACTATTCAAAACGTAACCGGATTATCCATTATTTTCATCAAATCAATATAGATAACAAATGGTCACACAAATAACGCATTATAAATATACAGCATGGAAAGCGTTTAATTTGAAGATATAGAGAGAGGAAGGCTTTGCCACCCACTCTGTATATATACATGTTAATATTATATGAAGCGCGATCTTCGTGCTCACGCTCTCAGCATGTATGCATACATAACAATAAACAAATAATAGTTAACTTCACATAAAATAAGTTTAAACAAAAACTACATCTTCCTAATAAGGTCCATCCGTTATTATAACTGCCTGTACGACGGAAACCGGTCCACACTAACCCTATTGGATTTTCTATAAAAAGGCAAGCTTCCACTCTTATATAATAAGTTCCAGAATTTTTGTAGAGAACCCACTTTTAACAATTACATCCATCGTATCTGTTAAGATCACTGTCAATCTTGATCGGATCTGGGAAGTCACTGTAACTGCAAGTTGTAAGATAATATAATGCAGGCATAAAATTGGAGAAATGTAAACAGCACAAGCCGATATATATGAAATAAATTTAAAATGAATGTTAGTGGTCATGTTAATAATACAGCAGATTCCAATCACCCCCGCTTTACCCCATTCACGAAACATAACAAACCCAACATACAGTTCTAGATCAGTCTCCTGTTGCAATGCATTCTTGGCGATAGTTTGGAATGCTTGTTCGACATTGATAGCCTCCTTTGCACTTGTTTCAAAATACGGAACATTTCCTTTCGATTGACACCAACTCATAGCACGCTTTTGAGTAACCTAATAATGCGGGTCGGGTTATTGGTTAATACTCTCGAATGAAAAATTGTAATACATTCTACGATACATATTATGTAATGTACGAACAAATTCTACAATCGTTACCTAATGTCTCTTCAATACACTAACCTTACTCGACTATTATTAACATATTGATACCCTTATTTATGTATTATAAACCTCTCCCACCTCTCAACCCTCCTCCCCACCTCTCAACCCTCCTCCCCACCTCTCAACCCTCATCCCCCTTTCAATTCATCCCCCCAATATTTACCACTCTCCTAGATTCTTCTATGTCAATCTTATTTCCCAATACAACGAATGGAAAATTATCTGAATCTCTAGGTGATGCTTGAATTAGAAATTCATCTCTCCAGCTGTCCAGTGTTTCGAAACTTTTCGCGTTGTTCACGTCGTACACTAGCACGCAACAGTCTGCTCCACGATAGAACGCCACACCGAGAGATTGGAATCGTTCTTGGCCAGCGGTGTCCCAAATCTTCATTACAAAAGAAATAGAAACCTTGTTAATAGGTGTACAATAAATACAGAGAAAGGAAGGATAGGAAAAGTCGACAAATCAAAAAACACCCGTATCAGAAAAAGAAAAAGAATATAGAAAATGAGAAACTATCTAAACGCAACTGTAAACGTAAACTGCTAATGGGTCACGCAAGACCAATATTCAATATAATTATATGAAAACCATCCGCTGCCGAGCTCTAAATCAACTAACATACATCCTTTCGACAAACCTCCGAACCCATCACTCATTTTCAACAATCCCCACCTGCATAGTAACCAAACGATCATCGACCATGACTTCCTTGGTCAAAAAATCAGCTCCGATCGTCGCTTTGTATTGATTGGTGAACTTTTTATTCACATATTGGTTCATAAGAGATGTTTTTCCGACGCTAGGGTAAAGAGGTAAGGGGAGAAAACAAGTGGTCAATAGAGTTCGGATGGTTGAGCATGATAGACTGAAATAAAAAACAAGGTGCGAGCGAGAGGCAGTTTGTAACCGTAAGAAAATGTGGTGTATGCTTAAAGATATTTAAAGTGAAATAAATATCTTTGAAATGAGCGAGATCGAATGCAACATTAGCATTGGTTCGTTAATATCCCTATTATCAGCTGGTAGTAGCACAATTTAAGCTTATCTACTGTGATAACGTTATTGTTTTAATAGTCAACTAGCGACATTCGCATTCAATACTCTCATTTTCACCCAGCAAACATGCCTCAAGCCCCATTTCGTGAAAAAGCACACCAACAACAAACTAAACGTACCCACTGTCTCCGAGAATAATGACCTACAAAATGATAGACGTCATGAAATGAATATCATAACATATGCCTCTCTCTAACAAAAGCAGTAAACAAACCTTCAAGAGCACTTTCTTGCGAGAAGCCATATCTGTAATTAATCACGAGTATCACTGGTGTGCGGTATTTTCCTATACTGACATGGAAGGAGAGATACACTTTATAATCTTTCTGGGAACCCCTATGCGATTATGTCATTTGTAAAACCAAAAGGCATATTAACAAGGTATCTTACTTTGTCCTTCTGTATTATAGCCAGATACAGCACTGGGGGGTACGGGTTAGAGCAGAAACCTGACGAAATGACTGGTCTACAGGTTAGGGGAGGGTTTACTCCGAGAAAGTCGTAAGGAGTACTAAGCCAGAACTCTGTCTATGTTATTAGTGTTTCTACTATCACTATCCTACAGTGTCTACTTGAAATAGAACAAAGTAGCAGATAAAAGTGTAAAGAAGAATGTATATGTATACCTTTTATTTGCGCGGAGTATGGCTAAGTTTTGTGTAACGATGATGGAGGAGATGATGATGATGGTTAATGGTTGAACAACCGTTGAAACTGTCAGTATTGTAGCCAAGTTCCACGAATATGTAAAATCTTGATTTCTATCAAATTTTGTTGGGGAAGCTAACCTACCTCAGTGTGTACAGAGCGACTGTCAAACTGCATGTTCCCAACTATAGATCTAAAATTCCCAGATGACAATCAACGACAACGCGTATAAATACCCAAGTTCGATTGTTTTGCGTGGGTGTAACTATAAATTTTTTACAAGCCAAAATTGTGTATGCGGACGTACAAGCTTTATACACTTTTGATAGAACGCTGTCGGGAGTTTTTTGCTTATAAAAACCACGCCAGAATGCAAAGAAGCGTATATTCAGATATGTGCAGACACGTTGCAGGCAAATTTATTGGTTTATCTAATGAAGGAACACCGTATAATAAAGCGTATTTAATGAATCTGCTACGTAAAAGCTTTGCATACGGTACCAGTGCGTGTGATGAATCGATGGACAACCAAAACCCAATATCAATATAAAGGTAAATGTTCCCATCTCCTTCGAAAATCGGAAGAGCTGGAATAGTCTAATTTACATACTGTTTTTATCATGTTTTAACAACTATTATAAAGTCATGTGCTTTTTTAACAGACAAGAATGCGTGTACGCTACCTGGAACTCTAACTTTATTAAATTGTACATACGATTATTAGTTCAACTTTCGTGAATCTATAATAAATAGTTAATATCTTGTTGTCCCAGCCATTATTCACTATGTATGCTTGATTTTTCGAAGCATACTCGTTAGAATTTTGCTCCATTCTCCTTGCAACGCAGTACTTAAAAATGATTTTTGATTCAACGTCTAATTCTCTTTCAGGTAACAGTACATACTGACCAATCTTGGTATATATTTCTCATCACAGCCAACAATATTATCATTACCGTACACATCAAATTACATAAGGATTTATTACACAAAAATGTGCTAACGCTAGAATGAATATGGGGGTATACTATTCCATATATATATTTATATTTATTTGTTTATTTATCTTTATTTATTTATGAACTAAATATGTATGAGGATAGTCTATTTCGTTAACTGCAGTAGGACTATGCAGGAACAACTTTTTATTGTAAATGTTATAAGTAAGGAGCGCGTTCAAAAGTAGAGTTAACGTTTAAAGTGCGTTAGCTTTTAAGATTCAAAGAGGCGAAACTGTCATAAGAATATATGAAACCGATCACTGTAATAACAAATGATTGGACATTATACTATAGGATTAAATAGTTTATTATATAAAAAATTCGATCTTACTGTACTTTTGTCGCTACAGACACTACCAGTAAATTTCTTAACTGATAAGAGCAAAGCAATCTGAAACCACCGAGTTGTGTTGGGATGTGACAATTTAATGGGGAAAAGGACCAATACAAATTAAGCGATCAAACTTTCAACTTTCAATACAGTGGACAGTAATCTGCGTGCTATCTTTATTAATACTGTAATATGACACATCGTTATTACAATGTAATTAAACAAAAACTTGCGTTAAATGAATATCAATTATAAATCATGATTCGAAAGGGGTTATAATGCTAACCTCCATAACGAATAACAATCTCATGCAAAACAGACGAAAAATTACAATTATTAATTATTAGATCTTTTTCAACACAATAGTTTACTTTCGTAATTTTATTGATCGTGTCAAAAATGAATCGAGTACAGTGAACTTGTTTATTACCGGACGGATTGACATAGCTCTCTGTGTCCGTCCGGAACCAGTATATGAAAATTTTATAAGAGACACCGGTATAAACAAAGAATTTTCATATGAAACGAGCGGTGCGCAAGAATCAGTCCGGCCGGTATAAAGAAATTCCGGTATAAATATAAACAGTGTTGACTATATTTGATTCGCTCAATATGTCGTCATCGCTTTTACCTATATATGGTTAAACACATGTTTATTATTTCCATCTTGGCGCTTTTACAGGACTTAAACCCGCATTTTTACCTACGAACCAAGGATTTGTTGTCGTAAACAATGTGACTATATTGACATGTGTGAACACAGTTAGACAGTCTTCAACCCACTTAACATTGTGATAGAAAGCTCTTATTATTATGTCTATCACATGTGGATAATGCTACGAAACATAATTCGGTCTTAAACTCCATCGAAAAGATTAACATCGTTACACGTCATGGTGCAAGTGTTATTATTATGTCCAAACAGACACAAAGTGCTATAATTACAGAATTAATGTAATCAATCTCTTATCCATTACTTAAAAACACTCTGGATTTACCCGAACGTTTATACATACAGTATATTGTGATGTCACATTTACATAGAAAATTTAGGCATTACAACATTTAATGCCATTTTTATAAAACAAGGGCCGAATATATCTAATCATATTCTTATCGATATCCTTTCTTTTCACCGAAGTTAATAATTTCCTCTAAGACGTCTTTGCTATGAATAAATATCGCTTGTTGTTTAAAAAGTCAATTTATTTAACTATCGCTATAATAAATTTTTCAATTCATTTTTTCTTTTCGCTATTATAATTATTACTAACTATTAATTCTACACTAAATGACGAATAAACAATGTGTGGATAAATAATCAAATAACTAAACTGGCATACCAAGCAGCAAACTCACCTTTCATCTCTAACCAGCTTCAGGGTCAGATCCTAAGCTAAGCAATCACCGAATCAATCCCTCCACCCCCATCAAGTGTCCAGTTGGATCCGGTCACCGGCAAACTGTCAGGGGAGAGAAAAACGGAGAGAGAAAAAAAGAAAAAGAAGAAAAAAAGGAGTTGGTTTATATACGTACGTAAAGCAATGCGAGACTTATTTTATACTTACCCCAAACCTTTTTCCCGTTATCTAAAAGCTGTGTACAAAAAGAAAAGAAAAAGAAATGTCTGAGAGTGTTCCGGGCATCCCCCGTGACTCACTCATTAGACCCATGCCAGGATCACTTCACCGTAGGCGGCACTGGGAAGAATGGCGAGTAGGGGGCGTCACCGGTAACTCGCCGCCCGATCCAGACCACCAGTCGAGACAAAAGAGAGCAGCCACCTAGTAACCAGTTTAAAAAGCGATAGTCTGTTAGTAAGTGATTATTTATCCACTCATTACCGACAACGCCCTTTACTTCTTCCAATATTATTTTGCTGTCACGCCAAGAAAACAAAGAATTATTTTTCTTGGTCAATGACGTTATCCTCCGTAATAACATTATTTCTGTGTGAGTTTCAATTGGATGGAGATGTTTCTTGTAAAAACAGAAGTTTTAGCGAATAACTAAATGATGGTAAATACTATGTATATAAATTTCCATGCAATATTTTCTTTGATATCTACGTGCGTTTTGATCTATTGTCCATTCAAATGAAGCTCTATTTATATTACTTGTATCATCTTTTTTAGTAAGCTCTTACCCCACCCACTTATTATTACGTACTTTACTCTTTCTATTTATAACTTTTTCTGCAACTTCAATTCTCAATAATGGCTAAAGGCTCTACTTACCCTCATACTAGTTATTGATGCCGGGCTTTGCCGCGTCTTTTTAGTAAGAAAGATTGAAACCAATTTGTCAGTAGTGGAAGGCACACACGTTAGGTCACTTGGTTATTGGCATATGCAATATGCCACGTAGACTTAGCGCGCCGATAAGAATAATAAAGCAAAAGCATTGCGAGTATAGATGTGTTGGGAAATTGAGGCGGTGACTATGTAATTCCTAAGTAGTATAAATAAATATGTTGGGTTATTTTATGACGGGGATCATTATTTCACTGAAGCAAGAAAATACCTGTTTGTTGATAAGACGCGGGATATTTGAATAGGTTAATCAACGTACGTATAGTATGACTTTTCCCGAACTTCTTTTATCACAGATTGTGTGTGTAAAGGGCGGAATGTTCGTACACTTTTGTCTGTTATGTGGTCGACAAACGAGTCGTCGTTTCGAAGACTTGTTTGTGAGTTGTAGCATACTGTTGTATGTGCGTAATATGGAGTGGCGGCAACGGTTTGTTGTGTTGTATGAGGGTATATATGTATGAGTAGACGCGTGTCCAAACTCTTCGTTGGTTATGTGGTCGATAACTGTGTCTTTGTTGAGTGTTAAGGGTTCGTTATTTGAGGACTTTTTCGTGCACAATATGGAGGAGTTGCGACAAAGGTTTGTTGCGTTGTATATTTAACTTTTAGATAACGTTGTATTTGTGCTTTGGAGGAGAAGAGGTTGTGAAGCGATACATGTGCAATGAAGAGAAGCGTCTGGGTATATGTTGTACCTCAGTTGGGAACCTGTCTCAGTTCTGGACCGAGACAACTGAGTTCTAGACTGAGTTTCTGGGTTTAACATACTGTATATGTACACTCCCTGGACAAAAGTATCCGATGGGAGCTTTTTCGATTTTATGCAAAATCCAGTATAATAATTACGCAAACTTTTTATATCATTTTGTAGCTTTGCTTTTTGCAA